ACAATAATTCATTGCAATTTCTTTAAAACATTCAATTACAGGAGGCACCTGCGGCAGCCGCCACATAATTTCAGGCTTTCCCTTTTGCCACTTTGTTCCTAAAACTGGGAACACTTTTGTCAAAAAGACAAGGGTGCATTTGTATCGCTTGTATTAATGTATATTCCATTTTATTCACTTTTATTTTTTATTCGTACAAAATCACAACTCTTTTTTTCTCTAAATCAAATATGGCGCGCGAGATAAAATCCAAATGACAAGCAGCTGTCATTTGTGTTACGTACGCCAAAAGTTGAGAGTTGGCCAACGTTCGTCGGTTCCGTCAACGCGAGGGTTGCCAATCTGGCGCTCTACATGCAAATACACGCATTTAACTCAACTGTCAGTTTCATCCTTGAGCGTCACGTTCCCAAAGTACTCATTCTGACCATTCTGACGGGGCTATAAAACTGGTGACTTTTGACAGAGAGAGAACCGTATTTACTCTCTTTTTTGCCCTCCCAATAGTCAGAGAACCGCGTACGGGGTCGATTTCCAGTAAAATCTGACTGATTCTGACTATTTCTGACTAGTCCGGACACGTACGGGATCGCAACTATTATTTCCATTCGTACTGTCATCAGGTATGTAACTTGTGAATAGAAATCGCTGCATCTTTTAGGCGCATCAATATTACAGTTATAGTAACATCCCGAGCTAATAAAAGGGAGGTAATAATAAAAATATAAAAGCGGCGCATGCGAGAATTTGCACCAGTGGTATTCATCTAAACCGATAACTTTATCAAGCAGATAATCTTATAAGTTTACGCACTCTGTTACAGGAACGATCCACACTCTCTTTTCGTTTACACATGCGAAAATAGTCGTGTTTTCTTTGGTTACAGAGCACAGTTTCACTAACTTTATACTACTAGCACGAGGATAAAGAAATTATAGAAACTAACTGCCTAAACGCGAGAAAATTATATTCACGAGATAATATTTATTTAAATAAATATACATATAACATAAAGGCTATTTATTTGAAGCTAGTTAAAAGAAACAATGGCAGAATGTCTGTTTGTGTATGAATTCATGTTACACGGCTACCAAACTTTGCGGCCAAATTATTAGTGAAGCAAAACAAACAGAAGGGATAATAATTGAACCAGATCTCTATTAGGATCACATCGTTGTTGTTGAATTAGCGAGCAAAATTTGTATGCGGATCCCGATTATTGCCCAAGAACAGAGTTGCCAGATGTGGGGATTTTGTCCCATTTTGGGGATTTATGAAACCATTTGGGGATCGTTTTTTTCGTTTGGGGATGTGGGGATTTTATGGGGATTTTTGTTTAGTTTAAAACCTTGATATTGAAATTAAAAAATATATTTTTCTGGCTGCCCATAAAAATTTCTCGAATAAAGATTTTATTAGTACATACTTTTGGCGCGATATGTTTGTAAGGTTTTCTTAACGCCGTCAAAGCATTATTCGACGCAGATTTCTGCTTTGATTGGCTTTCACTGAACAAACAATTTTCGCAACAACCTCCACGAAAGAAATTCTAAAAAATAAATGGTATTCTTTAGCTATTTCAGACTAGTACTTTATTACACTAAAAAAGTTTGATTACTTTCTGATTTTAAACTTTTATTTATGCTATTTCTGTTGTAGATTGAATTATATTTTAAAAGAAAATTAGTAAAAATAAATAAATAAACATATGTTGTAAAAACATATAACTTTGACGTATGCACATATACATATATAAATTTGTGAAAATGTGTAGACAAAAGTATTCAAAACTGTAATAAAATGAAAACTGTGTTAAAATAAAAACTGTATTAAAATGAAAACTGGATTAAAATGAACTAACACAAATGTGAATACATACTTTTTTTATTTCTTACTAAAGGTGATTTAAATGGGGATTTAAAAGATAAATGGGGATTTTTTGGGGCTGCGGCCCGATATGGGGATCGGGTACAAAAATATTCTGGCAACACTGCCCAAGAAAGCATAGCTAGATTTGCGACAGAGTTGCATTGGCTTCAGTTTATCAAGTTTATTCAGTGAAATCGCAGGAGGAGTTTATCAGAAATATGTAAACGAGTTTCCTTACAAATTTTGACACTTCATTTATAAGGTTTACACAATTATAAGTTTATACGGTTTACAATGCATTTATATGGTTTGATGAATACCCTTACTATATCAAAGTATTGATTTTTTTTAAGCACCTCTATTTTTTAATCAAAATTTTCAATACATGTATGTATATAGAAGTATTGAAATTAAAGTAAAGCGCCGCAGGCGAAAGTTTTTAACAAAAAATCGCGCGAATTTTTATTACAAATTTTCATTATATATCGAGGTATTGAACTAAAACGACGCAGGCGAAAATTTGTAATAAAACATCGCGCGATTTTTGATTACAAATTGTCAATATTTATCGATATATAGAATTAAAAAGGGCCGCAGGCGGAAATGTTTAGAAAAAAAACTGCGCGATTTTTTATTAAATTTTTTGAATATTTATCGAAATATTTAATTAAAAAAGGGATTTTTTATTAAAAATTATCACTTTGCCTCACAAAGTATTCACGGTCTGGCATTACATTCTTCGCGGCCATCGCTCAACAATTGTGTGTTTACAGATTGTTTGGGAATAAAAACTTATTTAAAGAACACTTTTATAAGCATTCATTGTTAAATATTTAGTAAAACAAGTAAGTTAAATACCCGGCGCACGTATTAAAGATAGGTTTTTCACCTTACCGAAAGCTACCGCTACATGGTAAGCCGGGGCGTATCAATTTTGAGTAAATTAGAGTCTTTAGATTTCGAAATTTTGAAGTTTCAAGCAGTTCTGAAATTTACCGTTATATGTAAAGCGGCCTCAATTTTAGTCCGCTTTCAATAATTTTCAACGTTTTGCTTTTATGTGGCAAGCACAATAACCATACCGAGTTTGGTACAAATTGGTAGAACGGTTACCGAGATACATATATGTGATCATAAGTGGGCGGTACCACGCCCATTTTCCAAAATTTTATCACAAACTTATATCTTGCACATTAGCTTTATTATTTACTGATTTATCGAAGATTTTGTATTTCTCTAAATTACCGTTATATGGGATGTGGGCGTGGTTATTGTCCGATTTTAAAAATTTTCGGCCATTTGGTATGCCGTAGCAAGGCTAACAACTGTGCCAAGTTTGGAAGAAATTGGTGCAGCGGTTACCAAGATATACACATGTAACCATAAGTGGGCGTGGCTACGCCCATTTTCCGACAATTTATAATATTCTTATTTTTCGTCTAAAACTTATTGTAAATATCAATTTTGAGTGAATAATCTCCAGTAGTTACTAAAATATCGCAGTTTACGTATTTCTCTAAATTACCGTTATATGGGATGTGGGCGTGGTTATTGTCCGATTTTAAAAATTTTCGGCCATTTTGTATGTTGTGCAAAGGTCAACAACTGTGCTAAGTTTGGAAGAAATTGGTGCAGCGGTTACCAAGATATACACATGTAACCATAAGTGGTCGTGGCTACGCCCATTTTCCGAAAATTTATAATATTCTTATTTTTCTTCTGAAGATTATTGTAAATATCAATTTTGAGTGAATAATCTCCAGTAGTTACTAAAATATCGCAGTTTTCATATTTCTAAAAATTACCGTTATATGGGAAGTGGGCGTGGTTACAGTCCGATTTTGCCCATTTTCAATACCAACCTACCTTGGATAAATGTAAACCTACATACCAAATTTCGTTCAGATATCTCAATTTTTGCTCGAGTTATCGTGTACACGGGCGGACGGACAGACGGACGGACAGACAGACATGGCTTAATCGATTTCTCTTTTCATTCTGATCATTTATGTATACATTTGTCTATATCTATCCCGATTCGTTTTGGCTGTTACAAACAACCGTTATGTGAACAAAATTAATATACCCTTGTGCACAAGTGCGCTCGGGTATAAAAAAGATGTGCATTCATTTGTTTATGAAGATGATATGTTAATAAAAAGAAAAGTGATTATTGCAGTGTTTATATAAAAAAAGTGAGGTAATGGGGAAATTTTAACAACAAATAACTTTAAAACTTTTAAACTAGCAATTCTACACAAAATGTTGAAGATATCGGTCGATGAGGACTTTTCAACACTCCCTGCGAATTTCATTAAAAAGTTCGCTATACTTTGCCTGAAATAGGAAATGGTCCATTATTGGAAATCTCAGCCAAGGAGTTTAATGAATATGTTCCTGCTTTGTAATGTACCATATCATATTTGAAAACCGTGTGTAAGCATAGAAAAAGGAGACGATAATAAAGAAGTCGCAAATGTGTGTGGTCAAACTTAGGATATGTTTGCAAAGGGCAGTGAGATTGGCGGCATACAAGGAATTGTAAAGTGACAAACATCTATCACGCAGGCGTTTCAAAACACTAAACGACTCCACGGTCAGGTGTCAATTTGCTCAGGCTTTGCAAAACTAAGATAGCAATGAACTGCTAACAACTTATATATGTACATAAGTAGGGATATGTACATATGTGTAAATTACATATACATTTTTAGGCAGAACCAATTTTCATAAACAAGATTTCATTCCAGAAGATCAGCATCAAACTGTGAGCCGGTTTGAAGAATGACAAAATTGTTTGTAGCGAAGGCAACAGAAGCCAACTATTATGTTGCAAATGATATACTCATTAGTTACACAGCACTGGCGCACAACAGCGCACACAGCGTGAGTGCTGACAGCTAAAGAATAATTTTTCTCATTACGTTTGGTGTGAATAGGAAACCTTGTGCGTTAATAATTTAAAAGATGCCATTGTAAATCAGGTATCTACATATTTATTTTCCGCAGTCTTCGTGTGGTCAAATTTCCTACTGAATAAATTACGTTCAAGCATTCAACTTATGGTATTGCCTGAAATGTCATATCCCAAACATTTTAAAAACATTATTTTTATACAGTTTTAATTAAATTCAATAAAGTTTAGTTTTTTGAATATTGATTAAAAGAATTTGCGTTGCTGTTAAGTAGTTGAATAAAGGAATTAAATAGGTATGAACTTTTACCACTCTTACCTCGATCGACAATTTTGCCAAATAAATTCTTTCCTCGCAAAAAGTTTCTTGTTGAACAATTCCATCGCCGATTACGAAACTGATGTTGGCACTCACTTATGGCAAGGTTAGCGCCTTTCACAAGAGCATTCAATATACCGGGGTTATCGCGAACCAGGCGACGTTGTTTTCGCCGTAATGTTGAATGTATAGCAGGATCCATATACAAAATGCCTGAGCTAAGTGGTGAAATATTATTCGGTTCGCCTACTTTAGCTATACCCCTACAAAGAAAATGTGATTACAATTTATTTTTTAGAAGTAATGCCATGGTACATATCGAAACCTAAATCGGCAACAGCCACAACTCAAAAACGCAGGGGAGGCAAAAAACTGTTGACGCTTGGCGACCCAGCAAAACATTTTCTATTTTGGTGGGCACTTATTTTTGTGCCGATGGAGTAACATATTACAATACTCTTCAAGACATGTAGATAATGCAATTGTAAACATGCCATGTTAAAGTAATGCATTCTGTAAAACAGAAAGTAAGTGGTGGACCTTCACTGGGTAAGCATTTTTCGAGATCTACCGCTTACTTTCTAGGCATCTTGTGATGCATTATTTCATCGATACAAAAATAAGCGCTTACCAAAGAGGCAAAGTTTTTGCTGGGAAGCGACGCATGCAAAACAAAAGCAGTCATATATTAGTATTTTTTCAGTTAAAAAAGGTACCTACTGATGAAGGAGAAATTTTACGAACGTTAGAAATATGGTATGTGAACTCTTTTATGGGAAACATTAATTTTTATAAAATTTTGAGTTAATACTGTTTTTGATTTAGGGTACGATATGTACTGTTTAAGGGTTAAAACATGATAAAAACATAACAAGTTAAAACCGTTGAGAGGCAGACTAACGTTTGCCAGCAATATAATTAAAAAATTCAAACTCACACACACATTCTCATTTTTAATCTCAAACAACAACAATTGTGTACAATTTAATTTTTTTGTTTTAAATTTTATAAAAATTTTAAAATGTTCTATGAAAAAATGTACTGCTTAATTTTAATTTATTTCTTCGAAGACAAATTTTATAAAATTATATCTAATAAATTTGGATTCTTGACAACAAATTGGAAGCTTTAACCCACTGTAAAGAACAATGTGATGATATCGAGAAAAATTCTTTAGAATTTAGCCATACTTTCATTGCAATCCAAAAAGGGCTGTTGGAAAAAAGAATTGGCTCTGCTATTTATGAACGAATCCGTACTGTTTTTGATGCTACAGAGTTTACTACATCGAAAGCGAGAGTATGCACACATCTATGCTATTCTATCGCAGTAAATATGACACTTCACTTTTCAACAATTTCCACAATTTTCTTCTTCTTTAATTGTTTTCTCACGTTAATTTTAGCTTCCTTTAAAAAAACCCATCGATCGACATTTTTCGTTCTCAAGGACGAAATTCTAATAATATTCGAATAAATCGCCAAAGCAAAGAACAATCGCAAATTGTGGTCGGCATTGCTGGATTCTCGTTGGAGCAGAATCGCACCGACAGAAACGCCCAAGTATGTGGGCTGCATCGATTCGAAATTTGAAAGAATTTATAGTAATTTCACAACAAAACCGCAGGTACGGATGAAAACAATACCATGGACGTATCGATACTTTTACTTGGAAGGGGTATCGAAAGAAAGTATCGATACCTTAATAATATCGGATTTAATTTAGCCTACTCGTATCGATACTTTTGGCTATTAAGGTATTCCGTATAAACTAAATAAGTTAAATTTAGTTATTTTTTAGGTCACCAGTTAACGATTATTTATCTGGTTTGATCGACCACAGAGTGGTGTTGTCTAGAAATGTTTATCAAGCTCAATAAAAACATTTCCAAATAATCACACTATAACTGTCAAAGTGCACAAATGGTGACGGACATGCAATAGTGTCAATGGAATTAATGTCATATACATTAATACACAATTTAAAAGTGAATTAATGTCAATGACATTAATACACAGAACAAAAGTGGAATAATGTCAGAAAAATTGTGGAAATAATGTCGTTGACATTAATGCACAATTTAAAAGTGAATTACTGTCAGAAATTTTAAAAATCATGAAAGCTTTACGGTGACGTGTAATAAAGCGCAGCGAAAATAAGGTCCATGGACACTATTTCTTATTGTCCATAGACAATCGTATTACCTTTTCGAAAGCGCAGTAAAATCCATGCACATTATTGCTCTATCAAAAAAATTTTGACAAAATAAACTTCTAACATACTACATACTAGGGATGTTGCGAATGTGGAATTTTAGACATCCGCGGATTCGAATGCGGAGGTCATGTATTTTGAAGAAATAATTTAAGTGGGTTAATAAGGTGATTTAGGTAAATAAAAAATGGAAAGGTTAATAATTTTCAATAAGCTGCCTTATCCTGAGTTTTGCCCGAAAAAAAATTCACCCGAAAATTTGTATTCCGCCCATAGTAAATATGTACATGAAAACCAAAAGTGAAAAGTGAACCGGTTCGGGGAAAATTAAATTCGTGATAAGACAGAATGTTTTTTTACTACTTTAATTTAAAAATTGGAACATTGCACTTAATAAAAACTTTTTGAAAGGTCGTAAATCAAACCTGCGACACTATATAACTACTCGCTCGAAGCGACAAACTTGAAACTTGGCAAAATTGTAAATTCTTTTCGATTGACACTGCGCCAGTTGAGAGGGCTTTATTTATATATATATATTTACTAGCAGAGCATCCGACGTTGTTCGGGGTTAACAAATCAAAATATAAAAAAGGAATACAAATATTCAGTTCAGCATAATTTAAAGGAGACAAACAATTTTCTTTGCTTACATTAAGGCTCAAAGGGCCATACTTTTAGCTTTATCGTACTTTAACTAATATATATTGATCATCACTTGTCCTACAAATCTTGATCCATTATTAATATTAGGTGGATTAAGGTAACGATCAAATTTCTAAATTAAAATTATTCTACTACGGTACATTCCGATTAGCTGCCTATTCGATTAGCTGTTTTAGTATAGTTGCACTTTTTTGGTAGAATGCTTAATTCGGAAGGAGTTTTATTCATTTTGAATGAAACTTTTCCGTTTAACAGCATCGCGGGATTTAAAAACGATTTAATATTTCCATTTCAAAACAATCTAAAGATGGTAAGGTTAAAAAAACACACACAGCTTTAAATATCCGAGTTATCTAATAGATGAATACATAAATGTATATCCCCCTTTTACAATCTCATTTATATATACCTTCCTCTGAACACCTCCCATAGATACCTATATCTGAATACCAAATTTCAAGTTCATGTGACTTATGGTTCTCAATATATGGCTGATTAAAAATTCCACGCCTACGGGATGTGCCATGCCCCCTTTTATAAACTCATTCATATACACCTTACTATAAGCACCTACAATAGATATGTCCGTATACCAAATTTAAATTTAATGTGACTTACAGTTTTGAAGTTATCCATAGCTGATAAAAAAAAGTTCCACGCCTATGGGATGCGCCACGCCGCCTTTTACAAACTCATTTATATAGACCATATTATAAGCACCTACCAAATATGTACATATATAAATGCATATCAAATTTCAATATGATGCGACATATGGTTCCGAAGTTATAGCTGATAGAAATTTCAACGAATATGGGATATGCCACGCCCCCTTTCATAAACTCGTTTATATATACTCTCCTATAAACACCTACCATTTCAAGTTCGTGGGACTTATGGTTCCAAAGTTGTAGCTGATAAAGGATTCCACGACTATAGGATGCGCCACGCCCCCTTTTACAAACTCATTTATATATACCCTCATATAAGCACCTACTATTGATATGTCTTCATACCAAATTTCAAGTTAGTGCGACTTATGGCTCCGAAGTTATGGCTGATAAAAAATTCCACGCCTATGGGATGTGCCACGCCCTTTTTACAAAATCGTTTATATATAACCTCGTATAAGCACCTACCATTGGTATGTGTGCATACCAAATTTCAAGTTCGTGGGACTTATGGTTCCGAAGTTATAGCTGATAAAAAATTCCACGCCTATGGGATGTGCCACGCCCCTTTTGCAAACTCGTTTATATATACCCTCCTATAAGGCCGTTGATATGTCTGCATACCAAATTTCAAGTTCGTTATGGCTCCGAAGTTACGGCTGATAAAAAATTCCACGTCTATGGGATGTGCCACGCCTCCTTTTACAAACTCGATTATATATACCCGCCTAAGCATCTACCATTGACATGTCTGCATACCAAGTTTCAAGTTCATGTGACTTATGGTCTTGATGTTATGGCTGATTAAAAATTTCGCGCCTATGGGAGGTGCCACGCCCCGTTGTCGGATCCCAATTTTTTTCACCCTATTACAGGCTCAGTTGTAATGGCAATACTCTGTCAAAATTTTTGTTCGATTCTGTCCCTCCGTTTAGACTGCAACCTGGCACATGCATACATATATACATACTTCCACAAATATATAGTAGATATCCTTCTCTTTGCGTAAAATAATTTTTGTGGATGTCTCGGCCACAGGGCCACCTATAGTGTAAGTTTCAAGTCCAAATATTTCTTTTGAATTGGCTAAATTGTTTTCTAAATATGAGCCAAATTAGCAAGTAAATGTAATTTCTAGGAATATTCTGACCCCAGCGCCGCCTAGCGAGCAAATTTTTTGTAGTACCTTTTCAAGGTACTGATATATGTTCCAAATATGAACCAAATCGGTCCAGCCGTTTAGTAATTTAGTGACATTCAATGTACAGAAAACTGTATGAAATTGTGAAATCATGACGTCTCAGCATTCTTCATTTTTCGGCAACAACAACAAAAAGTTTCAATTAATACTAAAGAAACTCATGTAAATATATACCTGACCCAATGTTTGTTCTATGGTATTTTTATAACAATATCCCAACGGTTTTTACCCTCCATTCCCGCCCATCTGCACGAGGGGCGCAGTCCGCATGACGTACGGAACCAATATTTTAAATTTTTGTGCCGAGTCACGATAGGCAGGAGTTTGTTAAGTGTCGAGATCTAAAACTGTTCAGCTACAGAACTAAATTCATCAGCTGATTTTATGTATTTATGTCAATAATTCACTCATTGATAGAGGAGAGTATCGCTTTCTTAATGCTGAAAAGCGGATCTGATATATCAAACGTGCTGGAATGAGAGTTAAAATCCTGGCATATGCAACGGAGTGG